GCGCTATACTGGCAGTACCTGGCGGCAGTCCTCATGCAGCCGCCCAGCAGCGCGGCGCTCGCGGGCGCCCACCTCGCCTTCCAGGTTGGTGGTGGGGATAGACACGCGCAGATGGGGGCCATGCGACCTGGCAGCTTTGGAGGGTGCTGCATGCGAGTTGCGTCCCGCCTCGGCGTGTCCCGCCACTGCTGGGGCGTTGGATCAACTAGCCGGGGCTCCTCGTGCGCGCGCAACCTTACTCAGTGTGCCTGGCCTTGGCGGCTCGCGGGTTGCTTATCGCCATACCCTTGCTTCATGGGTCCCGAAGGATATCCTCGTCAACGCCAAATCAACCCCAACCAACCTTGACCGAAGGCAACCCACCATGACCAACCTCGGCGCCCCACACTTGACCTCAACCGACCCAAACCGCCGTTTTCCACCCCCACAGGTGTTCCACCAGGCAATGGACGACTGGCACAACCGCACACCCTCCCTGGCCAGCAGCGCGGCCAGCATGCAGAGCGCCAAGGACCAGCCCAAGCGCCCAGGGTGAGCCCCGCACGGCCCGCCAGCATCCGCACCTTGTCGCAGCGACCGGGAAGCACGCACGTACCAAACTCACTGCTGCCCCTGCTGTATCGGGCGCCAACGCCTGGCCAGCCTGCGGCTGGTTCTGGTGCTCCTCATGACGCTTGCTGCTGCACACACTGAACGCCGCCCCCCGCACGCCCTGTAACCCTCCCTGCAGCGCCCCCGCGGGCGACGCCGCGGCGGCAGAGGGCGAGGGGGAGGGGGAGGGGACGCCGATGGTGGAGGACGGCCCAGAGGACGAGGCTGGGGAGGACGGGGAGGCCCCCATGGCCTCCGCCTCGGCCAGCGGCCACCGCAGCAACAGCCTGAAGCGCGGCCAGCCGTCCGCGGCCGCCAAGGCCAAGGGCGTGCCGCGCGGCGAAGGCGGCGGCGGCGGCGGCGGCGGCGGCAACAAGGAGGGCGCGGGGGCGGCGGGGTGTGACAGCGACAGGGACGAGGCGAGCAGCAAGCGGCGCCACCATCGGGGCGGGAACGGCAACAGCGCCGCTGGCAACGGCGGCGCCGGCGCCGGTGCGAGCGAGCCGCTGGCGACAGCGACAGCGACAGCGCACAAGAGCTGACGAGCCGCGGTCCGCTGTCCTCCGCACGCCCTGATTCTTGCGGACGATGGGCTCTGCTGCCTCGGGCAGTGCGCCACACCCCCCCCCCCCCCC